GTTACATTCCCGAAATGGTCTACAGGGAAAGGGAGTAACATAATACTAGATGGGGGAACATGAGGAGTTTGTTTGGGTTGGTTTAAACAATTTATTGCCAAAATGTTAACAATGAAGCATAAGGCGAGTACACCAAACAAAAAAAAGCTCTAACTTAAAATAAAACTCCATCAACAAATTACCTTAGTTAAAAGAAAGGTTACAAATCTATACATCAACTACATATCAACCAAAGAAAAATAGGAGAAAAAGGTGTACGTCAAAAGAAAATGGCAGCTCTCCCTTACAAGTTTCTTCTGGCGACTGCAAGAGAAGGCAGAACAACTAAGGATAAATCATTTCAGGTTTAGCAAGAAAAAAAACAAGCAAGGCAGACCCTTAGGAAAGCTAACCAAAACAGGTAAGGCTTCACTCAAAAACAAATGCTGCTGTAACAACCAAAAAGACTGGTCAGCTTTTACCAACTTTGGAGGGCACCCATTGGCTGCAGGATTCCGACTTCAGCCAAGGACATGAAAAACAAGATCATCAAGAGTCAGTAGTAGGGAAGGGTGGAAGTCAGGACCTGGAAGCAGCACGGTAAATATTTCCTCATCCTAATCTTTATATTTTTTAAAAGGAATATAATACCTGTTTTTGGAAATATTTGGAAGAAATTCACAGAAGCACCGGGAGTACATAAAAAAAGAACAAGCAGGAAAACCCCGACTGAAGTTTAAGTGAGGAGCCTTTCTGTGAGGTGAGAGTGCTAACCACAGCACCACTCTGCCTTCATTTAAACTGTAACCAGGTTTTAATCATAGCCACACAATTCTGTAATTGGTACTTGAAATTAATTGGGCTTTTAGCAGTTCCTGAATACAAAATACAAGAGAGAATATTAAAAGAAGCTGAGCAACGTCATGTCTTCTAGTGCTAAAATAGGCTATATTTTTGATAGAACTTCATAAAGGTAACAACACCTGAGTAGGAGCGCTTGTAAAGGTTACATTTGGACAGACTCGGCTAACAAGCAGCCAGTGATCTAGATGTTAAGTCTTGAGAAAATCTTTCCAGTTTTTCCATATAATATTAACACAGCATTAATAATGCTTTTGCTTTAAAAGGGCAGAATACAGTGTCTTCTGTAGTTGTGTCGACTTTGGCCAATGTAGAAACATCCAGCTGCTACAGCAGTGGCCTGGCAACAGCTGCCTCAGGCTTCACTCTCATAGGGGAATGTTAGGGTCTCTGTGCTGGGTCATGTCTTCTCTGAGAGGACATCTGCTCCAGTCAGACTCCCTGTGTATCTCCCCGGTGTCCTAATGTGTATGTGCGTGTGTATGTGTGTCTTTAATGGTAGGTAGAAAGCAGGAGGCCAGAAAGTCCTGTGTCCCTGCTGTAGACCATATGCCAAGTGTTACAACACAACCCCTCCTTTAGCCATCCTTAATGTAGCCTTTTAAATTATGAAAGAAAGTTCTGGTTAGCATGAGCCATAAGCTTTCCTGGTAATTTCAATGTAATCTAGGTCATTTTCATCAGTCAAAAAGCATCATCCTGGTTTTCTCCATTTCATATTCTAAACCTATGATCTTAAAGTGAAGGGCTTTTAAGACCAGAGCAGTCATGTTTTGTTACATTAGCTCATTTCATCATATTAGCTTAGCCCATTCACAGCCAGTATTCATTATTGCATGTATTGCTGAATGCGTTAAAGGAAACTGCTGTTCCTTTAAAGAGAGGAAAAAAAGACAGAGTATTTAAGGTAGGTACCAGCTATCACTGTCCACAAATGCCACTGTTAGAATTGCAGAGGCACGTTTCTCCCTTTGATAACCATCAGCTGAGCAGACGCTGTCATTATGAGCACTAAAAAAAGAGGCAGACACTGCAGGAGTGCACAGGTGTCAATCCCGCTGTAGCGAATGGTCCAATAGGACACTCGTTGATTGATAGCTGAATGCTAACAGAGCTCAGCACGCTAATGCACGCCACGGGACATCTATAGTCGGTGGTGGCTGTCTGTGTGTGAGGCTGAACAAAGCACTGTCATCCATCAATCCGTGTCACCCAGTCTCTGATCCCGAGTATATAAATGTTGCATCATCCTGTCCTTTCAAGTCCAGTCATGCAGAGATCGCTGGATGCACTGATTCATTGGAGATCAGTAATGAACTGTTCAGAGAAGGAAGGATGACCTTGCCTGTAGAGGAATAAATCCTTACAATTCAGGCTACAATGTGCATGTCTTACTTTCCTTCTTTTTTGCCAATTTCAAATATAGTTAATTATCAGAAAGCATTTTAACTTGAGAAGTAATTTCTTCAGATTTTCCTGAGGCTTCAGTTAAGATCACATTATCCTTTTTATAATCTACACAGCACTCTGTCTGTCGGCTTACTGCTATAATCCCCTTTGCCATAAGGGGGAGCTCAAAGGCAAAGTGCCTAATGCAGGATTCAGGCAGGGCCAACATAATGGTAGATTTTCCTCTGCGTTGGCCCAGTGGAATACCAGCATTTCAGTTGTGGATACTAAAATTGAAGCTGGACTCTTTTTTGTTACCCCACAGAACCAAGAAAATGTTTTTAATAGTTGGTTCTTAAATAGTTGCTGATTTTGTCAGGTCCAAAGCGCCATTTAAAGTGTTTTCAGTCACTCGATTGAAGCAAAAATGTCTCAAATAACCATTTGATTCAGACAAAACCCAGTCACAGTCCACTCGTTACCAAGCACACAGGTTGAAAGGACATAGAGGCTCCATTTAAAAAGTGATCGATGCAGAGATCACTGAAGATCTCTGGTGGAACAAGTTGCTATGAGCTGGTTAAAGATATTGATCCCATGATTGATTCTCTGATTGAGTCATGACAAGTCTCTCTTTGCCACCACACGCCACTGAGCGAACTTTAGCTTTAATGACTAAATGGATTAAGGGTAAGCTGAGAGAAAATCACCAGCATCCAGTTACTTTGACTTTGCTTTTTTAAAAAGAAAAAATTGGTACATTAGTGAAACTTTGCACACTCTTAAAGGGCCAGATGTTTCATTAATAACATTTTACTTCATTGCTTTTTACACTTAACTGACTACTTTTTGCTGTGGTTGCACTTAAGTGAAGAATGTTAATGTTTTTACCCCACAGGATGTTTATGACCCTAGTTATTGTCCATGAAATGGCTTTTCCTTTGTCATCCCTAAAACTCTCAATTTATTCTCATGCACCTTCTTTTTCTCTTCGGCTGCAGCAGCAGAAGCAGCTATTTGCTGCGTTGTCCTCTGACAATGACTCTTTTTCCATCTCTCCCTCCTGTCGTCTATCTCAATCCTTCTCTTTCATTGTCTGTTTACTTCTTACCGTCATCCATGCAGCATCACTCTTTCTCCTCTGGCAATGAGCTATTCTGTCTTCTCTCTCTGCTGCCTTCTCTCTCACTCATCCTCTTGACTGGCAATAACAGCTTATCTTCTCCTCTCCCCCCTCCCCCTCACCCTGTATCTTGCAGGGTACATCAGATCCTCAGTGCGTTGTCTGGGACTATGGAAACCCGTAAGTTACTCACAGTGACTCTGACACTCGTGTAAATGTTTGTGTGTACAGTGCAGAAATACATGTCTGTCAGTTAAAAAAAAAAAAAAAAAATCCAAATGATTGTGTGTGTGTGTGTGTGTGTAGGTGTGTGTGTGTGTCAATGTTTATCTCGCATGTGTGTTCATGCCCAGTCAGATTCATTTTATTAATGATCTGATAACATTGTAATGAAGTTCTCAGAGTTTCTCTTTATTAAATTAGTCAGTGGGAACAAACACCGTTATTTCACTGCTGCTAACAGTTCAACTGCATGCTAACTCAGAACTCCTCTGTGGGTGCAGCTTTTTCTCTACTGCAGTTCTCTTGTGTAGCATTTACCTTGTTGGCAGTTTAATTTGCATTTCTTTACTTCTTAACAGACATACTATCTAACTACATCACAAACAGTTTTCTTTTTTTCTTTGCTCTGTATTGTGGGTCAGCTGGTGAACTAAATAATATAAACCAGGACAATTGATCATCCTGCATTTACCATTAACCCACATATTGATCGGATAGTCTGTCAATACCAAAGTTATAAGAAACAAAGTTAAAACCAGGCTTTGGTTTCAGTTCATGGCCTAGTTACACTTTAAGTATAAATGCAAAAATTAAGGGAATTTGTTTTTGGCCGGTTATTTCTTTGTTGTAACAGTCTTGCTTGAGAATAAAGCTTATACCATTGGAAAGCCTTCATTTTCCCTTAAATGATGCCGTGTTTTGTGAGGAGGTTGAGCAACAGAGTCGATTACGTGGGTTGCACAGTGAAAAACTTACCAAATCTTTTCTTCCAATGCCAAACAGCTTCTTCTGCTATTGACTATTGTTTTATGCCATTTATTGGATTGGATGGTTGAAGTCTGAAGAAACAAGGCATATTGTCAATCTGTAAATGTATTCATTTTTTAAAAATGGGGGTTTAGCAGCATGTGGACCCGAACAGTATTTGTTACAAGTCAGCCAACACACTACAATGACTGACTTGCAACAAATGCTGGTTGAAGAACCAGGTGGTTAGGTGAGCCGTCTACCAACCTACCAGGGTCAGTGAATCAAATCTGGGCTCTTAGAGGCACTGTGTTGAATGAAGGATTTGCCTGATTTGTCCCATTATTTGTGTGATGTGTGTTTTGAATGTTAGATAAAAGTGCTCAGGTGTAGATAAAGAAACACTTTATGAATGTGTAAGTGTTATTGGATGAAAGAAAGCAAGCGCTTTGAGTACCCGAATTAAGTAGAAAGGTGTTATTTAAGTACCAGTGCCTTTAATGTAGTGAGTGTGGGTAATCAACTGTATGAAAGATGGGAGATGTTGTTAGATCCTGGATATCAATTTAACATTTGAGCAATGCCCGTGAATTTCCTTTTACTGATTTTTTTTGTTCTGGCTGTGAATCTGGCTGTAGTTCATTTAAAAAATGCTAGAGCTGTATTGTAGCATAACAAATAACTAAAAGCTAATGATCATCTGTTGTGCCTCAAAGGAGACCCTTAATGATGTGCAGAAAATTAAAGGTAGCCATTAAGTGTGGTAACTCTAAATTGGTCACACACTGAAGCATGTATTAAAATCATTAAAAGTGTGCACGCTATCGACAGTCCCCAAAGCACCGAAAACATGTCATTAATGGAAGAAAATTCCAGTACTAATGTTGCCACATTCATTCTCTCCCAGTTCAGCAATGTTGGACCTGGGAATCTTTAAACCAAACGAATTAAGATATTTAAAGTTTTGCACTTGTTGATATTTGTGTTAACAAATTTTACATCCCAAATTCTTAACCTGTGTATGTTTTAGACTGAAATTTGGCATAATAGTCTGCTTTGGTAGGAGTTCTTATTAACCTTGACCAGCACTAAATTTCAAAAAATCAAGTAATTTAGTTTAGATTGTTGAGTGCCTTTACTTTACAGGTAACTCGCCATCTTGCATCAACAAAGTCACTATTTATGAAAGAATTTCATAATTTTACATTTCAAGTAGGTTCTAGTTTGATTCTGAATGCAAACTGGTGATGTGAATTCCTGCATATACAATTGACAACAGATTGCAAATGCCAATTCATTGAGTAGAATATAACTAGAAGATAATCTTCTTATCCATCTATTTTATTGTTTTGTTTCACCACCATCTTGACCAAAGTCATTTTGAAGATGGCAATCGACTGCAAGTGATCGCAAACCTGGTTCCTGTCTTCACAGCAGCTTTTTCAAAAGCAATGAGATTGCAATCATATATCATGCTGCAGTCTCCACCCATGCTTTCTTTTAGCTTGACTGTAAGATTAGCTGCAATTCTGACAGACCAGATGAGCTAAATACAAGTTCACAAAAGCTCATGGCCCAGCTACCATCCTCTGCACAACTGCAGTCTGCAAGCTGATTCACAACCCACTTGCACCCCCGATCCTCATGTTGTATCGTACAATTTGGTTTAGTTCAATTGTATTTATGTAGCACCAGGTCACAATAAAAGTTGCTTCATGGCACTTTATATCGTAAGGTAAAGACTCTACGTTAACAGGGAGAAAACACCAACAACAATCCCCCTATGACACTGGGGTGACAGTGTAAAGGAAAAAATCCCCTTTAACAATAAGAAACCTCCGGCAGAACCGCTCAGGGAGGGGCAGCCATCTGCAACCATGCAACCGGTTGGGGGTGAGGAGAGGAAGCCTTTACTTAGTGTAATATGTCTCTGTTGTCATTGCCGTGTTAAGTGCTCGGGATTGTGCTGCTCTTCTTGCCATCTTTGACTTTTCATGAGTGTATTTGGAAGATCAACAAGGTGCCACAACAAAGTAATTTTGCCAAATAATAAATTAGTATAGACTGAAATATCAATAATGTTTTTGCTAAAGTGGTCCTGCCTGAACTGCCATTAACCCAACAGCTTCAATATAAACATGACATACTTCTTCCTTTTGTAGCTTTTAACCTTGACCCATGGCCTCCATCATCATATAAAGTTTAAGTGTTGAATTATTATTACACTTCTGGGATTTCTCATGACAACAGATTAAACTCTGGGCTTAGAAACCCCAGCACAAGTGAGTGAATGTGACCCGTGTACAGACTGACAGTGATGTCATTTTTATTGTCAATAAAAATACAATCATGATGATATCACTTTTCTTCAAAATGTATTTGCTAATCCAGTTGGGCTGTATGAGAATATAAATAATTTTTGGAAACATATTTGACATATGATGATTCACAGCAACCGATAACTTAAGAATTGAATTTGTCAGAGGGCCATCACTGAAGACCTTCCTGTCTAATGTGACAACAAGACGGATGACAGAAAATTCAGGTCAGCTCAAATTCTCCCTGGAGATCCCATTAGTTTACCCAGTTCTAGAAGAGTACTCTCTGGTGACCAAAGCACACAATGGGAGTGCAGGGACAGGATAAGACGTTGTAACTTAAACTACCCCTTCTCCATTAAGGCAGGAGAGGAACAATGCTTGGCAAAGTCAATCAACTAGCTGGCAGATTACAGCTGCAATCAAATTAAATTTGCAGACATGACGAGGGCAGAGAGCCAAGCAGAATATAAAGTGGCGAGATGGCAGCGATGTCAACCAATCAAAAACGTGCGTGCACCAGAAGGAATGCACTCTTTGGTTTGTTTTTTTGTTTTTAGGTTTTACTAATGTGCTTGTAGAAATCTAAAGATGCGTACAGACAAACATCCTGACCTCGGTTGAATTGACATATTTATATCGGCATGCCACATATACAGTGTTTAGTTACATTTAGCATGCTTTATGGCTGCTTTCGATATCCTGTACCGAGAAAACATAATCAACGAAAAAAGGAATGTTTCACTCACAAGTACCGAACCAAGGTAGGAGCATAAGGGAGTATCTGCATTTTTAATGCTTGTGTCAGCCAGCTACTCTCAAAAATTGTCGAAGATAGGTTGTTGTTGAAACAGTTGCTTACACATTAAACCCATGTACACACTTGAAATTTTCAGTATAAACAGCCTATAAACAAGTGCTCATAACATCACCTTTGGGTGCACAGAGGCGTCTATGGAAATGTGTGAGGCAGTGTAATGAAGGCAGGTGGTACATTTCAGCCAGAGGAAGTCAAAAATGAATTTCTGATTTTAATCTGATAATCACCTGTACAATTTATGTGCACAAACATCTGTAAATTGCTCAGAGAGCAAGCAGGCAGGCACAAAAAAACCAGTGCCGTATCAGTCTTACTATATTTGTTTCCCTATGCCGAACGCCAGATCCTGACAAAAGATTGGCATTAGTGTACAGGAGAATTTGCAGGATAACGCCTCTCTCAGGAACTAGCCACAAGCTTTTGGGAGTTGAGCAGGAGGCAGGCGAGATGTGGAGAACGTATAGATAGTACCAAGGCAGACATGGCAGCAGCTGAACCAGACAGAGGCAGAAAGGGGAGATGGAAGAAAAAGCTTTGCCACTCCATGACCTGTATATGGAGACTATATTTAGTGCACCCAAATGCACCCACATTTGAAACACAGATTATATTCTCTCTGTATCTTTTACCCCCCCTCTTTTGTTAAAATATCCACATTGATGATGTACACTTACTTGGAGATTAGGCATCACACTGAGGCTCAAATCTGCAAAGCCTATTGTCATCCCCATCACAACTGTGTGTGCGCGCATGTTTTTTCTGCAGTGGTGTTCTATTTAGAAATCTGCCAGCCATTTCAGCGGAAGCTCTCTCCCATTTGCGTTCTTGCTCTCTCTCTCAGCTGGCTAAGTTGGCCGACAGTGTGTGGCACTCACAGTTCATCTCAGTATTTATGTGCGAGTGTTTATTTATTTATTTAGCCCCTAACAGGCCCATATGTCGGTACCATCTGCCCACCCAAATCGTTGAGCTCGCCATCCCTCCCAGTCTTCCCCCGTGTGCCTGTCCCCTCAACCAAGTCTCAACCTGTTTTCATTTTCCTCGCTGCCTTGAATGGAAGCTGCTACATTTAG